TGACAAAGATCGTTTGGCAGCAGGACAAGGATGAGAGGCAGCAGACATTTGTCCTTTGGGTACCAGCCAGTACTACTGCCCACTGCTAACCTCATCCCAACTTCTGCCTGGGCCCAAGGGCAGAGCCCGGGGTCAGGCAGAAGTCAACAGAGACTCACATTCCCCTGGCCACAGTGAGTGGTACAGGAAGGGGTCAATTAAAGCCACAGAGACGCAGTGCAAATCATGCTGGAGCTTCTGGGACCCACGGAGCTCTCTTTCCTTCTGGGCTGTGAAACCTGAGTGGCTGCAAGGTGTGGAGCCACTGTGGTCAGGGTGAGCCTGTCTGGATGTGGAACCAATCTGGTGGGAAGCATGAAACCAGGGCCAGTGACGTCGAGCACCTCACTGGGCCAGGCCTGAAGGAGCTACTCTGAGATCATTAATTATGCAGCCCCACAAAATGAGCAGAACTGGTTTTCTGGACCTGGCCGGCAGACTGTGCTGGCTGGCACGGAAAGGACACCACTCACTGTAGTCCACCAGGTGTCTCCAGGGCTTCACTAGGAGGCCATGCTGCTGGCACTGCTGGGCATGGCTCCCCGGAGCCTCGCACAGGATCTGCCGCGAGCCCCTTATGGCACAGGTCATGGATGCAGTTCTCCATGTGGACTTGGGCCTGGGCCAGCTCATCGCAGGCCTGGAAGGGCCTGTCATGGGCAACCAGCAGCCCACAGAAAGCCAGCAACTGGTACTGGCCCTCTCGGTCGTGGGGACACCGAGGGACGATGGAGCAGCTGGCTGGGGAGTCTAGGTCCTTCCAGCTGAGTGCAAACACCTCCGGGTCTGGCAGGAGGGAGCTATCAGGGGCACGAAGTCATCATGGGGGTCCCCGTTGAAGTCCCCACACAGGCTGCAGAGAGTGCCAGCGTAGGTCGTGGGCACCATGATGGATGGTGGTGCCATCATAGGAGACCAGCGTCAGTCTCCAGCATGGCTCCAGAATCACTGAAATAGACATGCACTTGGCCGCCGGCCAGGCTTAGGGCAGGTGGGCCTGGGTCCTGTTAACCTGGAGACACACCCGGGGCCATGTCCACATCAGACACCCCTAGGTGGGTCTGGGAATCCCTGAGAACCTTTGGGGTGAGGCTGTGTCCCCTCAAGTCTTCCTAGGATGTGACTGGGTCCTCTCCAGACTCCTGAATCTAAGCCCACCCTTCTGGGACCGGATCCCAGCCCCTGCCCAAGCTCACCTGTACCCTCCCGGGGGTCTGAGCCTCCATCATCACCTTCACCCTGTGCACGTCCGCCTCGATCCACCGAGCCCCAGTCATGAGGGCCGTGGGGCTTAGGTACTCATTGTCGACCTACACTGTGAAAGCTGGTGCCCCCAGGTTGGCCCGACAGGTGCGGCTCAGCACATAGCGACAGGCACCCTGGGCTGTGAAGGCTGCACTGTTGAAGATGCAGTAATGGGGGTCACCTGACACCCAGCTGGTACCTCTCCGGACCCCACAGTGCCAGGCCCCAGTGCACAGGAGGCAGGCCTCCCTGTCCCCACTCGCCTGAGGGCTGCAGTGGGGTGGCTGCCCAGCCTCCCTGCACTCACACAGCTCACGGCAGTTGGGGCTCAGCTCCTGCACCCCCAGGTGCAAAATGTGGCCCTGCCAGGGGCAACCACAGAGAGCCAGGGACACACAAGCGCCACCGCTGAGCAGGTAGCCGGTGTCACACACGCAGCCCTCCCGACAGCGGCTGTGGCAGGCCAGAGACAGAGACACGTCCTCCTTGGGGCAGCTGGCCCTGCAGATGTCGGCACACGTCTCCCAGTGGCTGTTTTCAGGGCAGGAGGGTTCTGGGTTGAGCAGAGAGAGGAAGAGAAATGGGCACTTGACTCAAGACAAACACCCACACCCCTCACCCACAGCTCCAGGTCTCTGAAGGCCCTGACTGCTCCGAGCCCTAGAGCCGTGTTGTCTTCAGTCCTTTCCCCCCACCCCCAGCCAGGGCAGGGCTGTGTCCTCTCAAACCTCAGGGCCAGATATTTTTGTGCAGTTCACAACCTGTGCAACTGTATGCAGTGGTCTCGAACCCAGCTCCCCTGCCATTTCGTTGCTACCTCCCTCCAGCTCACCACAGAAGGCAGGACTATGCCAGGTGCCCACGGGGATGTCAGTGGCTTGGCAGGCCTAGGCGAAGGCAGCCAGTGCCTGACAGAGGACAGGCAGGCTTCCGTTGGCTGCACACAGCTCCTCGACACAGCTGTCCACGAATGGGCCCACAGGGAGGGCCCAGGCGCAGGCTGCAAAGGGGCCCCTCAGATCTGAGAGCCACCCTCACGTGGCCTGAGCAGCCCGGCTGATCTGCAGGTCGGTCCCTCCTGCCAGTTGGCTTGGAATGGCTCGGGCTCCAGCAGGGGCATCCAAGGGGGTCAAGGCATCGCGCCCACACAGGCCCCTGGTAACAGTGGCCTCAGCTTCTGGCACCGTGAGTTCCCAATGCCCATCTTGGATCCACAGTTCCGGACCTGTGTCTGTGACCAGGCGGATGGCTGAGCTTTGTGAGTGCGCGGCAAGCCCAGCCTCAGGGAGGGAGAGGGGCAGGGGAAGCAGGCGCCCATTCACCTGTGAGGACAGGAGCCAGCTCTGGGGTCGGGGTCTTGGCGTGGTGGCGCAGGCTCCCAGCGGGAGGCATTCGGATAGAAATGCACTTGTCAGCAAGAAGGAGAAGATGCCATGAGGCTCCGAAACATAGCTGGGACTACAGGTACAGACCACCACACTTGGCTACTTTTAAAATTCTTGTAGAAATGGGTTCTCACTATGTTTCCCAAGCTGGTCAGGAACTCCTAGACCCAAGCGATCCTCCCAAAGCACTGGGATTACAGACATGAGCCACTGTGCCCGGTCAGGTAAAATTCTTTTTTTTTTTTTTTTTTTTTTGAGATGGAGTCTCGCTCTGTCGCCCAGGCTGGAGTGCAGTGGCGCGATCTCGGCTCACTGCAAGCTCCACCTCCCAGGTTCACGCCATTCTCCTGCCTCAGCCTCCGAGTAGCTGGGACTACAGGCGCCCGCCACCTCGCCCGGCTAGTTTTTTGTATTTTTAGTAGAGACGGGGTTTCACCATGTTAGCCAGGATGGTCTCGATCTCCTGACCTCGTGATCCACCCGCCTCGGCCTCCCAAAGTGCTGGGATTACAGGCTTGAGCCACCGCGCCCGGCCAAAATTCTTAAGAGGAAAAGTAGGAGCAGACTGGGGTGTTTCCAGCAGAAAGCCTGGATGAGTGCACAGGAATGGGTGAAGGTGGGGAGGAGAGGAGGGCAGGCCGAGCCCTGGGCACGCCAGTGTTTAGTGTGTGGGCTGATGGGGAGGCACGGCTGGAGGAAAACCAGGAGAGTGTGGGGTCTTGGAAGTTGGGAAGAGTGTCTCATGGAGAAGGGAGGGACAGGGCTGTGTCAGACATCACTGGCTGTCAAGCAGGATGTGGCCTGAAGATTGACCACTGTCCTGGGGGGACCTCATTGAGAGTGGTTTTGGTTGCATGAAGTTGAAAGTGGAAAAAGCCTGACTAGAGAGGGTCAGAAACAGAATGAAGAGAGGAACTGATAGCCAGCCATGGTGGTGTGCGCCCGTGGTCCCAGCTACTTGGGAGGCTGAGGTAGGAGGATCATTTGACCCTTGGAGGTCAAGGCTGCAGTGAGCCGTGATTGCACTACTGCACTCCATCCTGGGCCATGGCGTGAGACCCTGTCTCTCGAAGAAAGAAAAGAGAGGAATTGGAGGCGGTGAGCCTGACAACTCTTCTGTGTGCTTTTGTTGTACAGGGTGTCTGAGAAACGGGGCAGTGGCTAGAGACAGATGAAGGATTGAGGAGAAACGTTTTTGAAGATAGCACAAATTGTAGCCTGTTGGAATGCAGTGAGAAGGATCTGGTAGAAAAGGGCAAATTGGCTAGGCGCAGGGTCTTATGTCTGTAATCCCAACACTTTGGGAGGCCGAGGTGGGCAAATCATTTGAGGTCAGGAGTTTGAGACCAGCTTGGCCAACATGGTGAAACCCCATCTCTACTAAAAATACACAAATTACCTGGGCGTGGTGGCACACGCCTGTAATCCCAGCTACTTGGGAGGCTGAAGCAGGAGAACTGCTTGAACCCGGGAGGCAGAGGTTGCAGTGAACCGAGATTGCACGACTGCACTTCAGCCTGGGTGACAGAGTGAGACTCCAAAAAGGGCAAATTGATGGTGAAGCTGCTCTCATCCCCTCGCTCCGCCTCTCTCTCCTTTTCCTATTCTCTGCCTCTCCATCTGATCATCTCACTCCTCTTGCTTGCTTTCTTGCCTCCTCTCTCTTGCCATTTCTCTCCCTGTTTGTGTCTTCCATCCTCTTTCTCACCTGTTTTCTCTCCCTCGCTGCATCTCCATGCTTCCCTCTGTCTTTCTGTCTCTCTCTTCTCTCCCCGTCTTTCTATCTCTCTCTCGTTCCCCCATCTCCGTCTCTCCTCCGTGGTGTCTCCTCCTTGCCTAGGAATCCAAGCCCTTCTTCCCCGGAGGTTGGGTCAAACAGCCTCAGCCTGGGCCCTTCTCTGCTACCCGCTTCCTCACCTGGGGACCAAGTGCCCCGTAAAAGGGAATTTGGTCCCACGTGGCCACCAGCAGGGCGCAAGAGGTGGGTGGGGCGTGGGGCAAGGCCAAGGCCAGGTCTCGGGTCGCCTGCTGCAGCAGCTCTGGACCCATCGGCCCAGAACGGGACTGCGAAGTCCTGGCCCGTCTCCCGGGGAAACGCCTCCAGTGTGAACAGCGCCACAGGCTCCCCAAAGGACACCAGCCCCTTGGTGCAGAACTGGGGGAAATGAGGAAGGACAAGACCTGCAGGGGGATGTTGGCAGGGCAGGGGGCAGAAGAGGGACAGGGCCCTCCCTAGCAAGACAGAGGATGAAGCCAGAAGGAGCAGGAGCTATAGATATAGACAGGCTCTGAGTTAAGAGTGAGGTGGGGAGAAGAGAGAGAGCCCAGGGACCGCACGGTCAGGGCCAGGGCACTCACATAGGCCGTCCTGTGTGTGGCCTCGAAGAGCATGAAGGGATCCAGCAGCCGCAGCTCCTCGGAGAAGTCATCGTCCTCTGCAGGGAGAACCTGATCCCCATGCTCCAGCCCGTAGGGGTACAGGAGCGAGGCTGGGGACACTAGGCCACTGAGGCTATCCTCAGAGCCCCAAGTCAGGGCTGTGTCCCCTCAGTCCCCAAGTGAAAGCTCCAGGTCCCCTGAGGGACTCTGGGGTGGGGCCACACTCCTCAGACCCCTAGAGCCCTCCCTGCCTGTCCCCATGGCCCTGTCCTCTCTCCAGGTTAGGGAGCACATCCGTCCTCACCTCTGATCTCGTTGCTCCAAGTCACTTGTTTCTGTAGGACTGAGGGGAAGGATGTCAGCTAAGGCCTGGGGCCCACACACCACAGCCAACCCCCTTCTGGAGCCCCCACTCCTACTCACCCACCAGCAGAAGCCACAGCATCCCCATGGTGGCTGCAGGTGCTGCAGGCCCGGTGGGCTTATACCAGGGCAGAGGTGGGGCCAGGGTGGGGACGAGGCGGCTGGAGCTCAGCTGCCATTGTTCATAGGTCGAGGGGGCCTGGGAGTCTCCCAGGGATCCTGGTTCCCATCCCATCTGCCTGAGGCTGGGCCAGGTCTGGGGGTGGTGGGCAGGGCAAGGGAGGAAAGAGGGGATGGACATCTTCCAGGGCTTTCCCAGGGGGCCAGGTTGCCAGACCCTGGAGGAACCCCCCACCCGTTAGCAGGGCTGGGCACAAGTCAAGCAATCCACGGTGGGGAAGCTGAACCACTGCTTGGTGAGGGGCCGCTGCTGACAGATAGCTGAACAAGCAGGGAGCCTCCTCCCATGGGGCCCTTCTGGTTCTCTTGGAGCAGGTTAGAGATGAGCGCACAGCGTCAGGGAACAGAGTGGGTGTGCATCAAGCGGGGCCAAGATATGCGGCTGGGCTGCAGGCCAGCCCCGGGGGCCCAGGGGTGGGCATCTGCAGGGCATGGCTGGGGCTGCCATGGTGGATACTCAAGGTCGGGCATTTAGGAGTGTTACTGGGGGACCCAGAAGGGGAGATTCGCCTGGAGAGGTGAACGGGGAGAGGGGGAGGAGGAACATACAGGCAAGGGGGCTCAGTACTGTGCACCTGTGAGATTCACGGGCCACCCTGGTGGAGGAGGCTCAGAGTTAGGCACTGGGGACTCCATCTTCAAAGTAGTGTCCCAAAGGGGTGCTCCAGACCCCCAAACCCCAGACAGCCCTTCACCTGGTCAAACCAGATGGGACAGAGGGTCACCTGTGTTCCCGGACCACGCTGAGGATTGGGCTATTTCTCATGACCCAGTAAAGAGATGCAATTGAACGGGGAGAAAAGGGAGGTATTTGTTTGTTTGTTTTTTTGAGACAAAGTCTTGCCCTGTCGCCCAGGCTGGAGTGCAATGGCGCTGTCTCGGCTCACTGCAACCTCCGCCTTCCGGGTTCAAGCAATTCTCCTGCCTCAGCCTCCCAAGTAGTTGGGATTACCAGCACCCACCACCACGCCTGCCTAATTTTTGTATTATTAGTAGAGACGAGGTTTCTCCATGTTGGTCAGGCTGGTCTCGAACTCCTGACCTTAGGTGATCCGCCCACCTCGTCCTCCCAAAGTGCTGGGATTACAGGCGTGAGCCACCACACCCAGCGAAAAGGGAGTTTTTATTTCTGTAACTGGTTACAGGGCGAAAGCCTGGAAATCATCCCCAGACCAACTCAAAATGACAAAGTTTTCCAGAGCTTATATACCTTCTAAGCTATATGTCCGCGTGTAAGTGTGCATTCATCTAAAGACATAAGTGATTATCTTCTTGTAATCTATTACTAAGATCTGAGTCCTGAAGACCTTCCTCTGGAACCTCAGTAAATTTACTTAACCCAAATGGGTCCAGGTGCTGGGGTGATTACCCTTATTTTGTGTCCTGCTAAATCAGGGAGGTTTAGGGAGGTCCTTCAGACTCCCAATGAACTTGTTTGTAGAGGCCTGGGGAGTTTCTTCAGACCCCAATTAAACTTGTTTAATCCTAAAAGGGTCCTGTTAAGAATTCCTTCGTTATCTTGTCATGCTTTAAAGCCCAGGAAAGGCCTGAGCAAAACTCTTGGTGGGCGTTTGTTACATCCCAGCCTCTGTATAGGGCACTGGCTCTATCAGCTTTTAATATTTAACTTAGCCACTCAGTTGGTGCTGAAACAGGTGTTGTGGAGGCCTGCGTTAGTGAGACCTGGCCTGCCACGCCTGGGCCCCGTCCTGATTCGAGGGCTCCTTTTTGCACCACCAGTCCAAGGAGTGTTTGGGTTAAGGCATCCCATCTTTTTCCCCAGAACACCCCCAGCGTCTGGAGACATGCACTTCCCTAGGGGGCCAGGAACCCCCCTCCAACCCCGTCAGGGAGAAAGTGTCCGAACCTGCCCAGCAGAGAGAGACAGGAAGTGAGAGCTCAGTGCCATATCCCGAGCTGTCCAGCCCCAGACCCCAGCGCCAGCCCTGCCCCTCGGATGTGGACCTTGGACGGGCTATGCAGCCCCTCTGTAGGACAGCAAACCCCACAGCCGCTTCTTCCCAGCTTGCATGGAGATGAAACAAGTGTTTCCCGAAGGGCGGCACATGGGCTGCTGGTGGGACACCCCGGGAGAGTACAGGATGGCAGTGAAGAAGCAATCGTTATTATTTCACTAGTATTTGTTTATTTAATACGTTTGTTTTGATTTATATTGAAAAACATGTCTGCCACCACCACATCAAACCCACAGTTTCATAAACACTGTTAAAAGTCAAGGCTGGGCCGGGCGCGGTGGCTCAAGCCTGTAATCCCAGCACTTTGGGAGGCCGAGACGGGCGGATCACGAGGTCAGGAGATCGAGACCATCCTGGCCAACCCGGTGAAACCCCGTCTCCACTAAAAAAATACAAAAAACTAGCTGGGCGGGGTGGCGGGCGCCTGTGGTCCCAGCTACTCAGGAGGCTGAGGCAGGAGAATGGCATGAACCCGGGAGGCGGAGCTTGCAGTGAGCTGAGATTGCACCACTGCACTCCAGCCAGGGCGACAGAGCAAGACTCCGTCTCAAAAAAAAAGTCAAGGCTGGCAGGGCGCAGTGGCTTATGCCTGTAATAGTAGCACTTTGGGTTGCCAAGGCAGGTGGATCGCTTGAGCCCAGGAGTCTAAGACCAGCCTGGGGAGCATAGTGAGACCCCATCACTACCAAAAATACAAAAATGAGCCAGTCTTATAACCCGGTCTCAAGATAAATAAATAAATCGATAAAAATAATAAATAAAGTCAAGGCTAGGTTAAAAAAAAGACACACACACACACAAAAGGAAAAGAGATAATTTGAATAAAATAATACAGCTGGCACCGGTGGTATTTGTTCATTGTCTGTTTGCTCCATAGGGCAGGGATGCAGGTTTGTGTCAGGCCTCTGAGCCAAAGCCAAGCCATGGCATCCCCTGTGACTTGCACATATATGCCCAGATGGCCTGAAGTAACTGAAGAATCACAAAAGAAGTGAAAATGCCCTGTCCCTGCCTTTACCGATGACATTCCACCACAAAAGAAGTGAAAATGGCCGGTCCTTGCCTTCAGTGATGACATTACCTTGTGAAATTCCTTTTCCTGGCACATCCTGGCTCAAAAACCCACTGAGCACCTTATGACCCCCCACTCCTGCCCACCAGAGAACAACTCCCTTTGACTGTAATTTTCCTTTACCTACCCAAATCCTATACAACGGCCCCACCCCATCTCCCTTCGCTGACTCTTTTTGGACCTAGCCCGCCTGCACCCAGGTGATTAAAAAGCTTTATTGCTCACACAAAGCCTGTTTGGTGGTCTCTTCACACGGACGCCCATGACATTTTGGTGCCGTGACTCGGATCGGGGAACTCCCTTGGGAGATCAATCCCCTGTCCTCCTGCTCTTTGCTCTGTGAGAAAGATCCACCTACGACCTCGGGTCCTCAGACTGACCAGCCCAAGGAACATCTCACCAATTTTAAATCTGGTAATTGGCCTCTTTTTACTCTCTTCTCTAACCTCTCTCACTATCCCTCAACCTCTTTCCCCTTTCAATCTTGGCGCCACACTTCAATCTCTCCCTTCTCTTAATTTCAGTTCCTTTCCTTTTCTGGTAGAGACAAAGGAGACGCGTTTTATCCGTGGACCCAAAACTCCGGTGCCGGTCACGGACTCGGGAAGACAGTCTTCCCTTGGTGTTTAATCACGCGGGGACGCCTGCCTGATTATTCACCCAAGTTTCAGAGGTGTCTGACCACACGGGGACACCTGCCTTGGTCCTTCACCCTGAGCGGCAAGTACCGCTTTTCTGGGGGGGAGGGGCAAGAACCCCGACCCCTTCTCTCCCTGTCTCTACCCCTTCTCTGCTTTTCTGGGGGGCAAGAACCTCCTGACCCCTTCTCCGCTTTTCTGGGGGTCAAGAACCCCCCGACGCCTTATCTCCACACTCCGACCCCTTATCTCCGTGTCCTGACCCCTTTCCCGCTTTTCTGGAGGGCAAGAACCCCCAAATCCCTTCTTTCCGTGTCTCTACTCTCTCTTTTTTCTGGGCTTGCCTCCTTCACTATGGGCAACCTTCCACCCTCCATTCTTCCTTCTTCTCTCTTAGCCTGTGTTCTCAAGAACTTAAAACCTCTTCAGCTCACATCTGACCTAAAACCTAAATGCCTTCTACTTTTCTTCTACAATGCAGCTTGACCCCAATACAAACTCGATAGTAGTTCCAAATAGCCAGAAAATGGCACTTTCGATTTTTCCATCCTACAAGATCTAAATAATTCTTGTCGTAAAATGGGCAAATGGTCTGAGGTGCCTGACGTCCAGGCATTCTTTTACACATTGGTCCCTCCCTAGTCTCTGTTCCCAATGCAGCTCGTCCCAAATCTTCCTTCTTTCCCTCCCACCTGTCCCCTCAGTCCCAACCCCAAGCGTCGCTGAGTCTTTCTAATCTTCCTTTTCTACAGACCTATCTGACCTCTTCCCTCCTCGCCAGGCTGAGCTAAGTCCCAATTTTTCCTCAGCCTCTGCTCCCCCACCCTATAATCCTTTTATCACCTCCCCTCCTCACACTTGGTCTGGCATAGTGTTTCATTCTGTGACTAGCCCTCCCCCAGAGCAATTTCCTCTGAAAAAGGTGACTGGAGCTAAAGACATAGTCAAGGTTAATGCTCCTTTTTCTTTATCCGACCTCTCCCAAATCAGTTAGTGTTTAGGCTCTTTTTCATCAAATATGAAAAACCCAGCCCAGTTCATGGCTCATTTGGCAGCAACCCTGAAACACTTTCCAGCCCTAGACCCTAAAATGTCAAAAGGCCGTCTTATTCTCAATATATATTTTATTACCCAATCCACTCCCGACATTAAATAAAACCACAAAAATTAAATACCAGCCCTCAAACCCCACAACAGGACTTAATTAACCTCACCACCAAGGTGTAAAATAGTAAAGTAGAGGCAGCCAAGTAGCAATGTATTTCTGAGTTGCAACTCCTTGCCTCCACTGTGAGAGAAACCCCAGCCACATCTCCAGCGCACAAGAACTTCCAAATGACTGAACTGCAGCAGCCAGGCGTTCCTCCAGGACCGCCTCCCCCAGGAACTTGCTACAAGTGCCGGAAATCTGGCCACTAGGCCAAGGAATGCCCAGAGCTCAGGATTCCTCCTCTAAGCCGTGTCCCATCTGTGGGGGACCCCACTGAAAATCAGACTGTTCAACTCACCTGGCAGCCACTTCCAGAGCCCCTGGAACTCTGGCCCGAGGCTCCATGACTGACTCCTTCCCAGATCTTCTTGGCTTAGCAGCTGAAGACTGATACTGCCCGATTGCCTCAGAAGCCTACAGAACCATCACAGACACTCTAAGTAACTCTCACAGTGGAAGGAAGTCCGTCCCCTTCTTAATCCATATGGAGGCTACCAACTCCACATTACCTTCTTTCCAAAGGCCTTTTTCCTTTGCCTCCATAACTGTTGTGGGTATTGACGGCCAGGCTTCGAAACCTCTTAAAACTCCCCAACTCTGGTGCCAACTTAGACAAGATTCTTTTATGCACTCCTTTTAGTTATCCCCACCTGCCCAGTTCCCTTATTAGGCCAAGACATTTTAACTAAATTATCTGCTTCCCTGACTATTCCTAGGCTCCAGCCACATCTCATTGCCGCCTTTTCTCCAGTTCAAAGCCTCCTTCGCATCCTCCCCTCGTATCTCCCCACCTTAACCCACAAGTATAGGATACCTCTACTCCCTCCTTGGTGACCGATCATGCACCCCTTACCATCTCATTAAAACCTAATCACCCTTACCCCACTCAATGCCAATATCCCATCTCACAGCACGCTTTAAAAGGATTAAAGCCTGTTATCACTCACCTGCTACAGCATGGCCTTTTAAAGCCTGTAAACTCCCCTTACAATTCCTCCATTTTACCTGTCCTAGACCCAGACGAGCCTTACAGGTTAGTTCAGGATCTCTGCCTTATCAACCAAATTGTTTTGCCTATCCACCCTCTCTGGTGCCAAACCCATATACTCTCCTATCCTCAATACCTCCCTCCACAACCCATTATTCTGTTCTGGATCTCAAACATGCTTTCTTTACTATTCCTTTGCACCCTTCATCCCAGCCTCTCTTCGCTTTCACTTGGACTGACCCTGACAGCCATCAGGCTCAGCAAATTACCTCGGCTATACTGCCGCAAGGCTTCACAGGCAGCCCCAATCACTTCAGTCAAGCCCAAATTTCTTCCTCATCTGTTACCTATCTCGGCATAATTCTTATAAAAACACACGTGCCCTCCCTGCTGATCGTATCCAGCTAATCTCCCAAACCCCAATCCCTTTTACAAAACAACAACTCCTTTCCTTCCTAGGCATAGTTAGTAAGGTCAGAATTCTTACACAAGAGCCAGGACCGCATCCTGTAGCCTTTCTGTCCAAACAACTTGACCTTACTGTTTTAGCCTAGCCCTCATGTCTGCGTGCAGCGGCTGCCACTGCTGCTGCCTCAATACTTTTAGAGGCCCTAAAAATCACAAACTGTGCTCAACTCACTCTCTACAGTTCTCTTAACTTCCAAAATCTATTTTCTTCCCCCCACCATCGCTCAAGACAACGCTTATGCTGATAAGGTAGCTAAAAAAGCAGCCATCAAAAGGCATCAGATCCCGTCTCTCAGGACAATGCTTATGCTGATAAGGTAGCTAAAAAAAGCAGCTAGCGTTCCAACTTCTATCCCTCACAGCAGTTTTCCGCCTTCACATCGGTCACTCCCACCTACTCCCCCGCTGAAACTTCCACCTATCAATCTCCTCCCACACAAGGCAAATGGTTCTTAGACCAAGGAAAATATCTCCTTCCAGCCTCACAGGCCCATTCTATTCTGTCGTCATTTCATAACCTCTTGCATGTAGGTTACAAGCCGCTAGCCCATCTCTTAGAACCTCTCATTTCCTTTCCATTGTGGAAATCTATCCTCAAGGAAATCACTTCTCAGTGTTCCATCTGCTATTCTACTACTCCTCAGGAATTTCTCATGCCCCCTCCCTTCCCTACACATCAAGCTCGAGGTTTTGCCCCCACCCAGGATGGGCAAATTGACTTCACTCACATGCTCCAGTCAGGAAACTGAAATACCTCTTGGTCTGGGTAGACACTTTCACTGGATGGGTAAAGGCCTTTCCCACAGGGTCTGAGAAGGCCACCGTGGTCATTTCTTCCCTTCTGTCAGACATAATTCCTCGGTTTGGCCTTCCTACCTCTATACAGTCTGATGGCAGACTGGCCTTTATTAGTCTAATCACCCAAGCAGTTTCTCAGGCTCTTGGTATTCAGTGAAACCTTTATATCCTTTACAATCCTCAATCTTCAGGAAAGGTAGAATGGACTAATGGCCTTTTAAAAACACACCTCACCAAACTCAGTCACCAACTTAAAAAGGACTAGACAAATACTTCTACCACTTTCCCTTCTCAGAATTCAGGCCTGTCCTCGGAATGCTACAGGTTCCAGCCCATTTGAGCTCCTGGGTGGACACTCCTTTTCATTAGGTCCCAGTCTCATTCCAGACACCAGACCAACTTTAACCGCACCCCAAAAACTTGGCTAGAGCCTAAAAACTCACCAACCAAGCAAGTGATTATGCCGAACCCCCTTAGGCTCTGTCCTAGGTCCTCCCAATTCTTAGTCCTTTAATACCTGTTTTTTCTCCTTCTCTTATTCAGACCTTCTGTCTTCTGTTTAGTTTTTCAATTCATACAAAATCGCATCCAGGCCATCACCAATCATTCTATATGACAAATGCTCCTTCTAACAATCCCACAATATCAACCCTTACCACAAAATCTTCCTTCAGCCTAATCTCTCCCACTCTAGGTTCCCACGCCGCCCCTAATCCCACTCGAAGCAGCCCTGAGAAACATCGCCCATTATCTCTGCATACCAACCCCCCAAAATTTTTGCCACCCCAACACTTCAACACTATTTTGTTTTATTTTACTTTATTAATATAAGAAGACAGGAATGTCAGGCCTCTGAGTCCAAGCCAAGCTATTGTATCCCCTGTGACTTGCACATATATGCCCAGATGGCCTGAAGTAACTGAAGAATCACAAAAGAAGTGGAAATGCCCTGTCCCTGCCTCTACCGATGACATTCCACCACAAAAGAAGTGAAAATGGCTGGTCCTTGCCTTAAGTGATGATATTACCTTGTGAAATTCCTTCTCCTGGCTCAGAAGCTCCCCTGCTGAGCACCTTGTGGCCCCTGCCCCTGCCCGCCAGAGTACAACCCCCTTTGACTGTAATTTTCCACCACCTACCCAAATCCTATAAAACGGCCCCATCCCTATCTCCTTTCGCTGACTCTCTTTTCAGACTCAGCCCGCCTGCACCCAGGTGATTAAAAAGCTTTATTGCTCACACAAAGCCTGTTTGGTGGTCTCTTCACATGGATGCACATGACAGTTTGTTCTGTCCCCTATATTTCTCCAATACCTAGAACAATGCCTGGCCTGACTTGGTCATCATGGAGTAGAGAGAAGCTGTGCCTGCTATTCCCTGTCCAACTTTCTGAGCCGCAGAATCCATGAGCATTTACTGTACCCACTAGCTTTGGGTGGTTTGTCATGCAGCAAGAGCCAAAACAGCTCCTCGCTTCGTAACTGCAGGACTGAAACAGTGTTACCTTTTATGCAGAAACTAAAGTCCATCTCCCTACTTATGCCGCTATCTGAATGTTCACAATTATTTCTGAATATAAAATGAATGGCCTTCACCGTCATTGCTAATCATGGCCATGATTTTATGTATGAAATAACTTTTGTGGCAGAGTAACTGTACACTTCTCCTTCAACCCGACTGGGAGAATGCCAACTTATAACCACATATGGAGCTGTCTGTTCCAAGTGACATCCAGAAAGCTTTTCTATATTTGAAAGGGACTATGTAGATATAAGTGCTAAATAGGAATGCAAAGCATGTCTTGGGTTCCTGATATAGTTGCACTAATTCCATAAGATGGGTCAAATATTTCTGATTCTGAGCAGCACCGCAATGACATGGAAGTAATTTTCAAATTCAGCTTTTCTAAAGACCGAGACCCTGGCAGGACCTCACAGCAACCTTGTCACTGTTATTATTCTTTTTTAATATCTTCCTGGCTCCTTGGGGTGAGTGGCAAGGTTGTTGGGAGCAGGAGGAGAAACTGAGGCTCACTGACCCCTGGCATACAAGGGAAACTAGTGAATGGCTGTTGAGTGAATCACAATCTCCCCAGCCCCTCCACTCCTCCAACAAAGCAATAATGCAGACAGAACTCAGAATGGCTGTCAGAGGCGTTTGAACCAGAGCAACTCCATCTTGAATAGGACCTGGATAAAGTAAGACTGAGACCTACTGGGCCGCATTCCCAGTAAATTAAGGCATTCTAAGTCACAGGATGAGATAGAAGGTCCGCACAAGATACAAGTCATACAGACCTTTCTGATAAAACAGGCTGCAGTAAAGAAGTCAGGAAAACCCACCAAAACCAAGATGGCCCCGAAAGTGACCTCTGGTTGTCCTCACTGCTACACCCCCCACCAGCGCCATGACAGATTACAAATGCCATGGCAACGTTGGGGAAGTTACCCTATATGGTCTAAAAAAGGGAGGCGTGAATAATCCACCCTTCGCCTAGCATAACTAAACAAGAAATCAAGACTAAATCAAAAAATAACCATAACAATTTGCAACCAGCAACCCTTGGGACTGCTCTGCCTATGGAGTAGCCATTCTTTTATTCCTTTACTTTCTTAATCAACTTGCTTTCACTTTACTCTGTGGACTTACCCTGAATTCTTTCTTGCACGAGTTCCAAGAACCCTTGGGGTCTGGATTGGGACCCCTTTCCGGGAACATGGCCACCTGGTTTTTATTTTCCCAGCAGGCTGCCTGTTGACTTTTAATGACCAAATTTCCATCGGATCCCCTAGAATAAAGCCACATCCCCCCAGACTTCCCAGGGCAGGGCCAAGCCTTCTTCAGTGCCCCTCACACCCGCCCTCCTCCTCACCAGGGCGAACCGTGTCCCTCCAGGACATGGTCACGTGGGTTCAGAACCCCCAGGGTGGACCGTGTTCTCTCAGAGTCCCCAAACTTCCTAAAACATAGGTACAGTACGTTTCTCAGCTGGCAATTACAAAGGAAAACTCAGTCACTCCTTGTTGTAACTCAATATGTCTCCAGCAAAGCAAGCCTTAGGACAGGTCTCAAATTACATCC